GTATATTATTTTGTTTTAAATGTGCATAATTTATGCAAGTGTGTGTATATAAAAATATGTGCTTCATAATTGTAATACATACTAAATTATGAAATCAGTAGATATATGGGAGGGAAGTTCGAAAACTGCAGTATTAGTAAATAATTATGGGGACCAGTTAATTGATTTGTAAAATTTAAATGTGAATTAAAATTATAACGATGAATATAATTTATTAAATCTCTTCATTTTTGTGAAAAATCTAGTTTGTCAAATTATTATTTAACGCGTGTACTTGTGATATCCAGCTGCACCGGCCTTTTTTGTCGTAAGTCAAAACAAGTTAGTTAATATATACAGTGATATCCATAAATATTCGTACACATTTAAAAACTGAGCAACTTTATTAACATTGGACTCGATGAATCAATTCTTTTTCAAGTATTGGAGAGATTTGCTTACTATATGATATATAATGAAAAATTTTTAAACATTGCTGTAGGTCGGATCCATAAAGAGAAAAGAGTCAAGAGCATGACTTTTACACATTTTATTCGACTCTAATAGATGTTCAAAACATGCTTTTGCAAATCCAAGATTCGAGTGATATAAAGATAAATATACTTACATAAAAATATGTACAAGTTGCATGTTTCAAAACGTTTAAGGCAAACAGTCTTTACACAATGGGTTTTATATTTCGTCTATATAGTAACGATCAAATATGTGCAACAGTACCGATATTGTTTTGTTTAGGCACGCTACCAGAGATGGAATGTTCGCCAAGCGCTATAGCTCTTATTAGCAATATATTCGAAGATTCTACGGATTTCAATTGTTCAGGGCACTTTGAACTCAATATATATCTGTTAACGCGTTTGGAGAACGTTGAAAACATCGAGGTTTTATATTGTCTCAACGATTGCATTACAGCGCTTCGAAATTTTTCACCCGTTAGACAGTACAAAAAGAAATTGATCGCGAAATTCCAATGATATACGTGAAAACATAAACCGCGACACCATTTCAACAACAGTTTTTCTTTCAGCCTAAAAAAACGATTACATTGCAATAGTAGAAAAAGTTATTTTATCACATATATTACGATTACGTTTTTTACAAAATCATACCAATGTATATATTCTGCTTTCTTCCTCGCCTCGATAGCGGGAAATTTGATCAAAATAACATCCCAATAGAGCTCCAAAGTTTCAACCATACCGAGAGGTAGCAATAGGACTAAATAAACAGTCGATACGACGAACAGTGTTCTGGAAGTATGATGGATTCTATTTGTTTTATGTCTGAAATTTTCTGAGAAATAACATCATTGAATGTCTACGCATATCCTTGTAATCGTAACAGGTCTCTATATAAACAGTTTACACTTACGAGTTAACCGACAACGAATTTTCTCAGTTTTTTTCATATGTACGATCAATAAAATATTTCCGACAAATATACAAACTAATGGTAACCAGGTGGACAGTGCAATGTAAAAGTACATGGCACTGCCCCATGGCTTTATCTTTTTTTGGCACGGTATGAATTCAAATACGCTATCCGTTTCATATCCTGCAAATAATTTGTTGCAATTGTTTAATAGATCAAATTCATGAGGAACAATTGTAGTGTCTAATCATCAACCAGTGACCTATTTACCTCCTGAATAAAGTTTTGTTAACGATATTACAAAGCTGAGACATATCAAGATGGTAATAGTTATTACTTCGGAACGATTGTTATAACGGCCATAAATTCCGAAAGGAAAAACAATGGCAAAAACTCGCGTCCACGTGAACGCTACAACCAGCCAAGTAGATGTGAATTGAAAAAATTCCATGGTTACAGAGTTTAAAGTGCATAGAAACCTATTGTTCTAAGAAAATGATTAAATTTTCGATTACAAATAAGAAAATCTTAATCGTTTAAAAATATTATGTAATGCAACCGCTTACCATAAAAAGATTATTGACAAAGGTAAAATGGGACTTTGCAATACCCACTGCATAATTGAACACCAATGCTCCATTGTCAGACAATGCGAGCGCTTTTAAATAAAGTGATAAATTCGATTCGCACAGAATTGGTGTGCTCAACATCGCAAAGGAAATGGTATTCAACAGTACTCCTGCATCAACAATGAATTGTTCATTACAGTACAATAAACTAAATTAAACAGAAAATATCACATTTTATTCTTCGCTTACCAACTAAAATGATAAATGGTGTTATGTAGCCAAGCAGAAATCGTACAAATTTAACGAATGGCTGTAACGACACCCAGTACAATCGAACCTCGCAGGGCCATACAAATTCCAAATTTGGTTGTGTAAAATCATAAATAAAATCCAATGTCGTCAATGGCAGTGGACACGTTAAATTGGCTCTTGTATAAAAATTATGTCTGTTACGAAAGATATACACGTAAATACAAATTGTAGTTTATCGCGAATATACAAAATTTATCCTTCCTAAATACATTTTATATTTATATGTACAATTTCTTCTTACCTGATTTCATTCTTCACCGACGTTTCGACGGGCTCTATCGACTGTAGCAGCATATTTATTACCAATATGAATTGCAGAGTCATATTATTAAATAAAACCATTATATACACGTATACATTGAATTGATTGTATAAATATTAACAAAAAATATATCTTACACGTTTCAGAGATAAATATATTGAAAGAAATATCTTTTAGCTTGAGAAGTTTATGTACTTTTCTCAAACAGCTTTTGACTAGCATGACTAATAATGTCTTACTTCTCATTAAGAACTGCGAAGGCACCTGTTGTCAATTATCATAACATGGAATTATTCTTGGCAAATATCATTTCAATGCAGATAACAGCTTACGAGATCTGTACGTGTATAGTTGGAAGCAGATCTGCATCTGTAGTGTACGTTTAAACTCGTAGCAGATAATAAAACTTTCTATAACATAACATGTATTATATGTTTACATTTATTTCTATTATAAAATTGTTGCTCATTGCTCGCATGTTAAAACAAAACGGATTTTTGAATTTAGTTTCGAAGTTTATATATTACATTTTCAAATACTGCTACTCATATACTAATAAAATGACGTAAAATTAATAAAGTAACGAAAAACTTGAGCGATACGTCGGACAGGAATCATTATCATCACTTTATAGAAATATAGTTCGTAATATATTTTTTTCAACATGTAGTATATATATATACATATACAATTCACACATATCCACGAGTGAAAGGCACACATTGAAATCATGGTAGTTTAATAATATTCATTTTCGCAAAAGTATCCTAGTTTTCCTTCCATCATATCGATGACAATCACAAATTATATTCCTTCTCCGAGTAATAAAACTATTTCTTGTGCTTCTCCGAAAATTCTATGACATCAGGATAGTCGAATTAAAAAATGTTATTTCACAAACGACTTTCTAGAAATTACTTTATTACATTATCACGAAACACAATCAGCATATTATATACCAAATACAACAAAACTGATATTACACTAGGGACAGTATTTTTCATTATTTGTTCCGACTATCAAAAATATATCCCACTTGTTCCATAAATTTTGCTCAAGAATACTATACAATTCCAACAAGTTGGGTCAACACTTGTAACATCCTTCCCATCTGAATACAACATTCTTTTCTATATGATATAGTTCTAATATATAAATAACTTTATCTATTTTCGAAGGAGTAATTTCCTTATTGATTAACAACGGTGTGTTTGTATGTCCAAACTAGTAGTAAATTCGTCAGGTTTAATGCATTCTTAAAAAAAATGTACGATTATCAACTGTCTCCAGAGTTAAGGATCTGTTACATATTTACAATCATACTTACGAAGATGTACAGTTGGATTTACAATCTACAGAAAAAGTACAATCCGAGAAACCAACAATACATTCTTTTACCATAAAATGAAATTGCAGTTTTGCAATTCCACATGATTGCAATTATAAACAGCATAGAGATGTATTAATATCTCAATTAATAATCAATGCATTTTACTCTTTATTCTTTGTTCATCAAAAGATGGCTTTTAAAATATTTACATCTATTACTTACTTACAAACATCAAAAGATACTTGTACGATTCAAACTAAAAAAAAGTATGAATAGACAAACGTATACGATTACAATTACATATTAATACAAGTTATTAATACACAACGTAAGATCATAATCTTTACAGTTATCAATTCTGCACAGATCTACTTTAATAATATATATGCTTTAAACAGATGACGAGTGAAGGCTTCTTTTACATTTATAGTTCCATTACACTTACACAGTACATCAGAGCAAGTATCATGATTAAATCGAATAATGTTGATCATACAACTTTAACAATTAATTTCGAATATTTTACGAACTATTTATTATGATACAAACACCAGTATAATTGATAATTTTGTAAATCAAGTACAAACCGTGGAGAGATAAAATGATGTTTGTTGCATTTATCATATTAGCAATTCAGTAAGACATGTAATAGTGTACATATTTTTATAAATGAAAACTAGTCTTATAGTCTCAATCACAGCCACTGAATTGAAAAAGAAAAAAACAATTTTAACACTTTTCCAAGTTTCAATTCAACGTTTTCCATTCAGTATTTTTTTTTTTAATTTTCTTATATGTTATAGCCATGTAATTCTCGGCAAGATTATTCTTAATTCCTATGATAATAGTTTTCATTTTATGACAAAACATGTTCCTTTTCTGATAAGTGTCTGTGCAGAACCCTATAATGCGATACACATCGCTACAGGATGAAATTCGTTAAAATTTTGTTTAAGCACCGTGTGACAAATGTTACTGGAAATGATCTTTCACTCAATCTTTAAACACTGTACGATGATTGTACATTTCTCCCCTTAAAAAAATTATATTTTCTCGAGTTTATAATAATTTGGACATTTTGCATTGTGTTTAAAACGATTTACATTTCCATTGAAAATAGCATTCATTGTTTTTTTAATATTAGTTGTGTACTTGATATTTTAAATTATGTTAGATTCATATCAGAAAGTAAAACATGTATACATATTATCATATTTTCTAATATCACCTTGGTAAGAAATCAACCTATGGTCAAAATAAAGTTCTATATTGCATAACGCACAAGTATGTACAAATGGATATCTATAGTTTTTTGCATTTTGCAATCATACAGACATCCTTGACAATTATTTTTCGTTCTTGAATTACGAATACATATTTCATTAACATTCGTTGTACTGTATCAGATTAATTTCTTACCTGAAAGCTAGATCAACTATCGAAACTCTAATCGAGATGTAAGTTTTAAAAAAATGATTTGCAAAGTAATCAAGCCCGCTCATAATAATTGTTTTAATGACTAGTAAACTAAATATTGAGTAGAACGTTTTAAGTTTGCCTATAATTCTATTCTGTCATTTCTCCTGTGCAAATTGACGAATATCTATAATCATTCCCTATTTTTCTTTTATTGAAGAAATTAGAATTCACGAAAGATTTTTGTAATAGAAGATCAATACACAGGTTATCTTCCTTTTACATCTAACCAAACAGATTTTTAGGAATAAAATTAATAGATAGCAGAACTGTTTCTCATTCATATCTCATTGTTGTACTGTGCAATCCTACATCTTAATATTTACAAAAATAAGCATCCCACAAGTGCCATTTTTAGTAACACTTTACGTTTCCTCTCCTCTTAAGCCAGAATTGTTACATGCTCTTTACATTTTAGAGATTGCACTGATTAGGTGATGTGCACAAGTCATAAGAAAATCCAGATCTATCGTTTTAGTCAGGTTTATATATGGGTATTTTTGGAATAAATTCAATTAAAAGAACCTGAAATACAAAAGGTGAAAACGATCAAGTATATGTTTATATGTGAGCTCAGCAGATCAATACCTAAGACTAATCGAGACAATGATGTAATACTAAAAGTGCAAGATTATTTGTACTAATAAGGTTTCAGCTATTTACGTAATTAAAGTGTGAACTTTGCTCTCTCGAAGAGTTGGTAATGCGCCAGAAAACAATTTAACATAAATAGCAGGCGTTCAATAAATATTCAATATTTAGCGTCAACTTTGTAAGGCTGACAAAATGTCAAATCGTATCCAATATTTTTGTTTACTCACATATTCCATCATGGACGAAGTATCACATCTTTGTTTTGCGAGTCTCCAGTGCAATCCAAGTTTATGATACAATCTACTGTTTTCCCATTCTAACAATTTGTTCAACGAATGTTGTGTCTGTAAAATGTATAATCCAGTTATTTACTTCACTTTGATTTTTATGTAAGACAGTTGTCACATGTATATGCTTTTATGCATATATTTACAGAAATTTGATATTTACCCTTTTACTCAAACAGATAACAGGCCAAAGGGAACATCCTAAGGTACAGCAGCAACAGACACAACCACAGAACAGCCACTTGACATTAACTGGTAATGTTTTCTTCAATACACTGTTTATTCTCATGACAGTTGCTTTGAACTCTTCTGGAGCGACACGTGACACCAGGCCATTTGGAAATTCTGATTCGAAGCGATTACTAAGACCAAACCTAAAACAAATAATTGCAATTTTGATAAATCATACATAAAAGTATCCAATTTTCTTGTTTCAGTTTGTGGCGATAAAACAAATTTGATTAGATATTACATCTTACAAGAAGCGTGTCACTAATGAAAAAAACTGTCATAAAATGCAAAAAAAATAATTTATGGGGTTGGTTTCTTTGTTCTTAATAAAAAATGTTCAATTCGTAATATACAAAGAAGCTAACGAATACTAATAATCTGCTTACACAGTCATATTACCAGCGCCGCGAATAACAATAGGATCCGGCACCATTGTCACATAATGCTCTTCAAAATGTTGCTCATTTTCTTCTTCTTCCTCGTAAATCGCGTCGAAATCTGCCATTGTACGATATTCAACGGTTCCCGTTCAACGAGCAACACAATTATAATAACGTTTATTCCGTTGAAACGTTGAGTCTCTCTTCATTTATATTTAATGTAGGAATTGTATAGCGTTACACGCTTGTTTAAATGTTATGTGTAAACATTTTTGTGACCAATGGATTATTTAGGCCAAAATCAGGAAACCTTCGGTCGTTTAGTTTTTCTTAACTATTTATCACTATTTACAACACAATCACGACGACGCGCACTGCAGATAATGCTTTAGAAGTTGGATGCTTCCTTCACAGATCACGGTCACAGAGCAGTCACAGAGTCACAGCTCATCAATTTTTCATTCGATGTGATTTCAGGCTCGCCAACGTTATAATCATAACCTACAAAGAAATACCAATCCGCCAATTGAAAACATGTATATGTGGAGGAGATCCTCGGTAGTCGTACGTATGTATATGTACCATGGGTATGTACAATCAGTATATAATACATCTTCTCCAATCTCCTCGGTAACCATCGGTAACGCTCGGTTCAGCACCAACAAGAGGAGTGTTTTACTTTCTACTTCTGTTTCTATACACATACATATGTGTTATACCTAATAACAAACAATAAAATGTTCTTCTTCGTTTACTCAGTACAACACAGTACTTGTATATATTTTAACGGAATTAATAGATAACGACTGAATAAATTGGAAAATTATTTTTATTTCTTACAAAATATATTTATTTGTTCTACTTCGGTATTAACTCCAATGACTTATTTATATTTCAAGTATAAATTTGTATCATTTTATAAATACATGTTCAATTCTGATGTATGATAATGTCTGCCATGTCAGGAGAAGAATTCAATTCTAAATTTTTTTCATTCGCTAAATGCAGTAGAGATACGAAGGAGAGTGGAAAACTTAAAGCTTCCTTGTTAGTTTTGCTTAGCAAAGTCGGCAACTTTTTGTAAACGTCTCTATAGCTTTTACCATCACTCGTGCTGTCTTGTTGCGCCTGTTCTTCTGAAATATTGTTGTTATTGTTTTCACTTTCCAAACAACTCCAGATAGACTGTTTCAGTTGTTTCATGTCAACTTTCTTCGCACACGCAGAGTATGTAATAGCCACCTTCTTCGTATGTTTTGGTATAGCAACCAGATTATCTCCAATAAGGGGTGTGTATGCTTGTGTTTGCTGATACTCGACGTCTTTGTATCTATCTTCGCTCGCATTATTCTCCAAATATTCCTCATTTTGCACGTTAGGAAAAAGGTCCGAACCACCATCATTCACATTATGCATATTATCATCATCTGGCGTATCAGACAAAGAAGTGGTGTTCAAATTATTTCCATTTTCTGGTTCTTCGATTGTTTTTGGGTAAAGATAAAGTTTATTGACGTTAATAATATTGTAATGCTCATCGGACGGCAGCGTTAATATCTCTTCGTTCCATGCTGATCTAAGAGTTTTAGTGTTTAATTTAATTTTTTTACTCGGCAGAAACTTATCGTTCATAACTTCAATATCAATATTGTCATAACTTATCGTAAGCTCTACTTTTTCCTTCCTTCCTGCTTGCAAATTACGATGTTGTTGACTCTTAGCACTCTTAACAGACGAAACAGTTCTAAGATTATTAAATTTCCAATGAGACGGTCCTGCCCAATGCAAATTTGTGTTTTTGTTAACAAACGAGTACTCTGAAAGTTGTGATGGTACTGTGCTGGTTACAACTTGACGGAAATCTACAATATTTTCTATTTGGTCAGGTGTCATGGCACATCTATTTCCATTTTCTTCATCTGTTAGTTCGAGATCATCATAATGGTTCATGTCAGTAGATACATACTCATCCCCGTGCTGTACACTAGCATCCAGATTAAATTGAAATCTGTCTTCGTTATTTCTTGTACCTTCACTTAATGTTTCATCCGACTCATCATCGTCCACATTCTTAGTGTGAAAATCGAAATAGAACAAAGGTGGACAAATTTCCATTTTTGAAAGACCTTTTATCCTTGGAACATCACAAACTGTTCTCTTATCTGGAGTATCATTCCTATTTACCGTATCTACTAAAACATCGTTGTAAGGGTGCTGATAAAATCCTGAATTCGCATGGTTCGGTAACATCACTTGATATAACGTGTCCGTAGTCTGTGAATCTGATTCCATAGTTATTAACGAAGGTTTTTCAGTTTCAATATTCGTTTTCAAAGCTTCCACAGTAGTAAATATTTGTTTTTTAGTTTTCCTCTTTCTCTTCTCTAACTTTGACTTATCTCGATTTTTATTGTCTCGTATGCTATCTTCGCAATCCATTTCTTCCAAGTCTTTCTGTTTTTCGGCATCTTTCTCTTGCTTATCCAGTCCACCGACCAATTTGAGTATGTCCATATGTATACCATCAACACGAAATCCATAAATTTTCGTACTCACATCTAAGGACGTACTAGCTACTTGTAAATTAGTCATGTTGGCATCTTTTTTCTTTATCATATACGTCATGAAATCAATCATTTCCAATCTGAATGCATTCTTTGAATTAATCTTGTTCTCTGCATTAAGTTTTATACATTGAGCTATGCGTTCTGCCATTTGAGAAGACGACATTTGTCCTAAGGAGCTAAGCCCTAAAGAGGAACGTCTTTGATCTCTTGAACTTGTAGCATTTGTTGTATTATCAAAAATTTCAGAACGACGAGCCAAGCGTTCTGCTTCATCATCATTTTCAGATAAAGGAGGTTGAATCCTTTGCAATGTAACAGACTTCCTCCTTAATGGAGATGAAGAAACTGGAGAAGGCGCAGAATTTAGTATATTGGCCATATTCTGTTAAGCAATTATGTTGCCTCTTAACATGTAAATATATTGTGTTCAGTCAAACTTCTTTGTTTATACTCCTAAAAAAGATATGAACATGTACACATATATAAGATAAATACCTACAGTTTGTATTGAATAACATATACTTTATATTCAAACATTTCACAATACTGTTTGCATACCTGTTGGATCTTTTATATGAACGTGTGAAGATCGCACCTCATAAACTGTAAATTATCCTTTATTTTCGATTCAATAATTATATATTCAAGTAAACTTCTTAGATATCCGTTACAGAAATTTTTAACATACACATCGGATGACATTAGTCGTAAAAACGTTTGTGACCTATGCTTTCGGAGTCGTACACGGCACTATAGAAAGCAAAATAGGGATAATTCAAATAATTCAAGTGCTTCTCTCGTAATAATCGTTAGAGCAGCACTCGACAGTACTACAGAAAATTGGCGCGAGTAGAGAACGAGAAACGATCAGGAAATCATCAAATTCAAACAATCATTTGAAGCAATTTGAAGAATAAATAACAAATCATAAAAGAATTGTTTATAAATTGCCCAATCTAAGCTCGGAAGTCTCTCAAGAAAAATTTGAGGAATAAATTTATTTATAGCCGATATTATTTTACTCGCTTCTCTTGGTCAATATTTAATTTTTACAGGAAAATTTGAGTCATTCATTGAAAAATAGGTCAAATCTTTTTGTTTGGAAGTAAGAAAGATGTTTGTATTAGAAATTGCAATGATAACACACATTTCCTTCCATGCCATTGTGTCGACAGAGACATCTTCCGTTACAAACGCCCATTTAAAGATGGTCATCAATACTTATCTTCCAATGGTTTTGTTGAGTTGAGAGGTTGAGAATGGTGAGAGTATATACATACAACAACATACATATATATAC